TTTATTGCTCAGAATTTTCTATTTTATTTAATACCCATATTGTTATTGAACATTGCACTGAATTTTTTAAATAAATTTTTGAAATTAAATTTGAGCCCTAATTTCGCAATAAATCGATTTTTTCTCGTGCTTTAATTTTCTTTTTTTATTTTTGTAGCACGGTGTAATATTAGTAGAACAATTCCTTACCCTTGCTACGCGTACATCCTGATGGCGTGTCTCTGTGTCTGTACTCAAATCATATTCACCCAGACGTACGAAAGATCTAAATGAAAAAATTGCAAAAATTAAGCTAGCAAACATTAGTATGTTTTTAACCAACAAGAATATATTTCATTCTATAATAAAATATCATAATTCAGAACTTGGTAAATTTTGCTACATATAAAAAAATTGTCGAACATACATACACACATACTCCGTGTGGAAGAAAATGAGTGACACCGTAGGCAAAAACTTCGGCAACAATCTACGGTATTTTATAGCCACTTCAACATGTACTTTTTTAAACTAAAATTGATTGTGCTATAAATCTGGATTTTTTTATTTTTGAAGAAACTTTGAAGCTTGCATTTGTATGGTTTTATAGTATGACATATATTTTATTTAAAAAAAAAAACTTAAAATTACATAATAAAGAAACTTGTAGACATGTACGTGTCGTATACTTGTGAGAAACACTATATTTTAAAACCTATGATTAAAAAGTTAATGACTAACAATATTTCAATGCATTTGAGATAGTAAATATATAGTATACATGGGGCGTTCCACACCAAAACGGATGGGGTTGGACAAACATAAAAAATAAAAAAATATGAAATTTGAGCTTGATTAATACATTTTTAAAATCTTTACAGCACAGAAACAAAAACAAATCAGTTTAATAGTTTTCCAAATATCTCGAGAACGGGGCGAGGAAAAAATTTAAACAAATCACACATACACGCATCAAAATTCTCCATGAAAAGAAATATTATTTAATGTTTTATTTCTTGAAAAGTTTTTCACATAAAAATTAAAAAAAAAATAGTTTTTTTGAAAATTTTTTTTTGAGAAGGCATATTTTCAAAAACTATTTTTTTTTGTATCAAAAAATTTGTATGTAAAAAATTTTTCAAGAAATAAAAATTTAAAAAATATTTATTTTCAGAATTTTGATGCGCGTATGTGTGATTTGTTTCAAATTTTTTCCTCGCCCCGTTCTGGTGATATTTGCAAAACTATTAAATCGATTAGTTTTTGTTTTTGTGCTGTAAAGTTTCTAAAAATGTACTAATCAAGCTCAAATTTCATATTTATTTATTATTTATGTTTGTCCAGCAAACCTAAAAATTTTAAACAAATCAAACACAATAAGTGTGAACCCCATCCATTTTGGTATGGAACGCCCCACTTACACTTGTTTGGAATAAAGCTAGTGCAATTAATCAACAAAGTTAAAATCGTTAGAAAAATTCAATTAGGAAAAAAAGTGTCTTTTGCATTATCATTCAATGTCTAGACTAAATAAGTATAAGATATGTTTGTTTAAAAGAAAGAATACCCTGCATGATTTTTTGTTCAAATGCAAACAAAATATGCAGCTAAAGAAATTTGAACAAACCCCTTCTGCTTGTCTCAAAAAACGTAATGCAATACTTACAAATCATTTCGTATACAATGCGCCGCCGTTACCACATGCCGAGATGAGACCAGTGCACCACCACATTTGAATGGCGAACCGGAACTCAGCGCCGGATAGGCTAACAAGGCCGCCCATGGCCAGTCACTTATTTTACTCGCTTTTCCGCCGACAATCTTCTTAAATGAACGTAGAACAGCGCCACAGCCACCTGCTGAGCCGGTTGATGGACTTGATGCTGGATTCGGTGCCGGCCGAGATGGCGCAACATTATTCGCCACAGCAGAGGGACAACAGACAGCGTAGCCATAACCACCGCAATTTCTATGCGATGCGCGTAAATATTCAACGTAATTTTGGTCGGAATATCGACTGTATACCTCACGCAGCAACGGTTCGCAACTGTTGATTTCTTGAGGGAGAGAGGAGAGTGAGTTTTCAAATGAGAAGGCGGAGAAAGTTTTTTGCTTGTCGATTATACTTACCTAAGCACGCTCCTTCGCTAGAATCGGGCGCACGACAATACTGTCCTGCTCGTTGATCCACGAATTGTGGTGAAACTCCATCTGTATTGAAAATGCTTCGTAAATCCAAAGACGGAGGCTGACGCACTGCACGTGTTGGTTGCGTCTGAGCTAGAAAAGGATTGGAAGGACGATGACTCACAATTGGCTGGTATACTGTTTGTCGCTGAGGTGTATTAGCGGCAATCGCACAACAAAACTGAAAGCAGATATGAGATTTTATTTCGAAAATTCATCTTGAAAACTAGTGCAATTTGTAGATACCTACCAAGTTGCCACCACACACGCGCTGTGCAGCTGCCACATATTGTTGATTACGCGCACGATGAGCATTGACCACTTGCGGACAAGTGTTGAATTGCGTACAAATGCCATAGTAATTCTCGGGAGTTATGCAGTTAGATTGAGCTGTGGAATAGAATATTGAAATTTAAATTCTATAGGTGACCAAGGAAAATATTATTCACAAAAGTTGCTCTACTCTATTTTCGGCATAAATTTTTGGGGGATTTTTTTTTGTTAGATAAAAAAGTGTTTAATTATTATTTTTTTTTATTACAAAATGTTTACTTAGCGCTTAAAAAATCACTATTTATTTTTCTGAGGAAGGAGCCTTCTTTTTACTGAACGCTTTCAAGTATATATTTTTACGGATGGCTCAAAAATGGATTGTGGCGTAGGGGACGGGCAGTTTTTCAACTGATCTCCAAATCGAAGAGTCTATTCGACTACCGAATTAGGTCAGTGTTTTTCAGGCAGAGGTCTTTGCCATCAAAGAGGCGTGCGAAATAATTTTAACCTCAAAGCTAGTCGGGACCAGCATTGCTAGGCTGCTTTCCAAAACGTCAAAATACAAAGCATCAGTCTCTTTTATTTCTAAACCTCAGCAGCTTGGAATGCCAAATGTACGCAACCACAGTTAGATGCTAGTTTTCACCTAGGTTGCGCAAGTTAGACTTTTTCTTCTAGTGCGGTTCGGTAATAAAAAAGACTGATGCTTTGTATTTTGACGTTTTGGAATGCACCCCTATTTTC